CCATGAAGGGAATAGAAAGTAAGATCTTAACATGGAATATCTGAAGCAGTCTTAATTGCCTTTGACATTACCTATTTTGCTTCAAATCAATACATGGGAAGCATACAGAAGTAATTCTTGCTAACATTGCTTAATCCTGCCAAGAAGGAATTTAATTTGTGTCTGTGCTGGGGAGAGAGTGGGTTACAACTTCATCAAGTCTGAATAACTGAATTCCATCAAAGAAATGAAAATGGAATGACAAATTTTCTGAATCAGCTTTCTCATACGAAATCCTTCATTAGTCACTGAAGACCCTGCAGACCTCTAATAAGACAATTTGCATAAGATATGCATTTGTCCAAACACTGAAATAACATTCTGGGCCAGATTCCTCTGATTTTGACAATGTTTCATTTTTTTCCCACCCTGTAATACTCTAGTAATCTCCAAGACCCACTTGTGCTCCCACCCACTGCAGGTTGTATCAGATCACACCCCATGGCTCCATCACTCTGAACAGAGATGCCAGAACAAAGTCAAATATGCAATGCCCTTCAAAAGTTCTCCTTCTCAGAGGATGATTAAATTATCTCCAATTAAACCAAATGCTCTCTTTGTCTTTCTGTACTGAGACTGATACTGAATGCTCATCCCTGCTGTCCCAAAAATATCAATCTGTTGCAGAAAACCTAGACCTGGTGTCTTTGCTATAATTTAGGAAAAAAATCAGTATTCCACCAAACTGACATATGTGTTCTCAGTGAATTAATGGTCTTAGTCATTTTTAACTTGCACGCATAAATGAATAGCTACAATATGGTCTGCATAACTAACAGTGTTGACTAATGAATATATAAACATTAAATTATGGCTTTATTAATTCAGAAAAGTTGGTTTTGATGCAGCTTTATGAGAAGTGGGCTCATCTATGGTACAAAAGGAAGGAGAAGCCACACAGGTGTACAGCACCATGTGCTGCAGTAACAGTAGGAATTATCTGGTTGCCATCAGCTCAGTACCCCTATAGCCCTCTTTCCTTGTCCTCTAACTCATTAAATTAGTATCAGGTTTGTCTGTTCTCTATTTAAGGGGAATAAATAAATCAGTTGCCAAAAAAAAAAAACATTACTTGTATTATTAGCACATCAGCAATGCAACTCTTTATAACACTGAATTTAAATCTTCTCCAAACTGATCCCCTTAGCTTTTGTAACTTTGAAACATATTCCTCATGTTAAACCAGAGAAAATAGAAAACCCATAAATAGGGATATTTTTAACTGTAGGAGTAAAACTAATGATTATAGCGCTCTGCATCACTTAGAATTTCTAGTCACTTCAGCTAAAATCCCTTATAAAAACTATTTTAGCATTTGACAACAAGTACCGAAGAATTCATATTGTAAATTGGAAAAATACCAGAAGAAAAGGTTGGAGGTGGCAATGGAGGAGTTGGGAATGTGTTTAGCAAAAAATCTCATGAGAACGCTGTGCTGAAAGATCATTTTTATTCTAAATATAAATCTTTAATACATTAGCAATCCTGGCTTTAACATCCTAATATAGTTTTATTGCCAGTCTGAAGAAGAACAAGCAAGACAAGGTGATTCTCTGCAATTTACCTATCTCTTGCAAAGAAGAGAAGGTTAGAAATCCTGTTTAAAGGTTCCAGTGCATTTTGTATTGCAAGTATTTCAGTTTCTGTTCTTCCTTCTATGGTGCCAAGCAATAGGACAAGAGGCAAGAGGCAGAAACTGGAACACAGGAAGGCTCCCCTGCAAATGAGGAAGAACTTCCTTACTGTGCAAGTGACAGAGCACTGGAACAGGCCACCCAGGGAGGTTGTGAAGTCTACTTCTCTGGAAATATTCAAAAGCCATCTGGACAGAATCCACCTGCTCTAGGATGACCCTAGGGAGGTTGACCCACTGTGGTCCTTTCCACAGTGATTCTTTCCTGTAATTCTTTTTCTTTAAGTTACCTTGAAATGTCTAGATAAACTTCCCTAAACCGCAAGACAAGTTTGGGTCTAGATCTTCAATATATTCCGTATGCCCTCTGAAATACTTAACTGTAGCAATAGTTAGGAGAAAAAGAGTTTATGATGTCCTAAGTAAAAAACCTGCCCTTGTGCCTATTTTTGTTCTGTGTCATTCAAAGTCACCTTTTCCCCAATCCTGTATGCTTTGTACCTACATTAAACACTTAGTACAAGCTTTCTTTTGTTATACCAATTGTCATTTTACTGTGACAGAAGTGGCTGAGCAGTGACAAGTTCCAGCTCTAGTCATATATGCTCCCCAAATGGAAGGATCTATGTTGTTTCCTAAAGCTTTCGCATGTCACTCAGAGCTCTGAAGCAGCTGTTCACTGGAAAATGAATGAAACACAGGTCTCAGAGATTACTAGAGAAATGGAAGAGCTAAATGGGATCTTAACTAGTCATTACCTGGGAAGAGAACTATGACTCACATCAACTTCAGAAAGTTAAACAGCCTTTTAGAAACTATCATGACTCACAAGCACTGCACACAAATGCACTCATACACACAGTGTCTTCTTCTCTGTTCAAGGCGTTTAGTTCTTCTATAGAGAAACTCAGCTCTCATCTCCTTGAACCTACAACAGCCTTATATCAACGTAATTACCTTGACATCAGCCAGCTCTCTGATTCAGAGAAGTAGATGCTATAGGTGTGTTTCTTGCTATCTGGGCTACATAAATTGTTGACCTATAAACTTTTGTGAACAACACATAACAGAAATTGACTTTTTTTTTTTCTTCCCAAAGAGATTTTGTAAGAGTTTGCTTTGGATTGCAAGTAAAGCAACTCTCAAACCCTAATGAACTCCAGCTAGGTTTTCTTTGAGGACATAGTGTTCTAAAAGAAAAAAATCTTTTTCAACGATTATTCCATTGAGGGGTTATTTTGGCTTCTGAAGCATTAATTTTAGTGACAATAATTCTGTGTCCATTGAAGCAACTAACATAACCAGAGCTATTGAGTTAAGCCAAGCTAGCCAAGCGGGGGGACTCAGGCTTGAAATGGGAGCAAATATGACATTTTAGCTGTAAAGGTGTTTCCAATCCATCGGTTAGTGCTGTAATTTACAAGCATGCTGCCTTCTGAGAGGTACTTTGCACTTTCAGGGAACCAAAAATCAGAAAGCACTTTTGCTAATTTGAACTGAAAAAGGGTTTTCCACTGTGATGCTCTCAGTATGACCCATGTGCACTCAGTGGAGATCATCCTGTAGGAAAAGGTAACACACTAGACAACCTTCTGAATTTCTACACATATTTGTTCTGGCCTGGATGGAGAAGCTGATTTGTGATAATTAGGGTGTAAATTTCCAAGCACTGCAGCTTAGCTGCCCTAGTTCTCACTAAGGCCACTTTGTCTTGCTGGGAGAAAGCAGTCTGGCTTTGACAGTACTATAAGCTATTTTTCCTTTAACACTGAGTGTCCCCAGCAAGAATAGTGTGAATTAGTGAAAGGGAAATTCACACCCAATGTGAGTTTCTATTAACTTCCTTCTGTTAAAATGCCCATAAATAGAGCAGGTGGCTGGAGCAGACTGACAGGGTAATAGATGCCCAGAAAGAAAAAAAAATTTATCACAAAAGTAGCATAAGTCACTAGGAAAATTAATTAAGATGAGCTATGTCCACAAGTGGTGTTACTGAACTCATTTCACCTTGAAGAGGAGGAACTAGTGCATCCCAAGGAAGGAAGGCAGAATTACTGCAAATGACCTTAAGTAGCTGAGCAAACAGTTTGGTGTGCCTGCTAAGTACCCACCTCAGCGCCAAGGGAGCTGAGCATGGCAAGGTGTGCCCTCACTGCCGCCAGCCCACACAGCGGCTGGGAGAAGCTCTCCTCTGATGCTTGTTCACCAGACTGACTGAAATGAGCAAATTCAATTCTTATCAGAAAAGTGTCCGCCTTGCAAAACTCAGAAGCATCAGATTCCCCTGCTAATCATCTTGGTGCAATAGAAGAGGAACAAAAAACTTAATTATCCTTCTGCTCCAACAAATGGTACCTGCACACTAAAATCCAGAGACTGCACTAGGGACTGTCTATGCCTTTGCCCATTCCAGAATTATCCTACGTGGGTTATTTCATCCTGCAGGGCTGCCAGGCCTGAATTGAACCCAAACACATAAGACTGTTTGCAGTTCTTTGATTTTATTTATCAGTATTCTTTGTTGTCAGGTGTAGAACTTTATTTTAAATCAATAAGAATATGCTCTTAACTACAAAGGCACTTGGAAACTGCATGAAATCTTCCATTGTTCCCCACTACATGGCCAGGGTCTTCTTTAAAAAGATAACTTTGAATTTAGAAATCCCAGTTGTAGGAACACTAATTTAACAGTGCTGCAAGGCAAAGATACATTCAGCCTGTTTGAATTCCTAGGCAAGGTGTGAAACCAAACCGGGGGGAGTCTTTAGATAAACCAAGAGCAATTCGTCTTTCATTAACTTATTTAGTGTCTTCTGTCTCTGAACACCATACGTGAATTCCAAACCCTGCAAATCTGAGGTATCTGAATTTACTGTCATATTATGTTGTGAAAGTGGATTGCCATACAACTTCATATCTGAATATTTCTCAAATTCACAAGTGCAGCAGATATTCTCCCTTCTGTCCATACAACTTCTTCAATGAAATTCTGCTTCAATCTGCAAGTTTTATGGCATCTCTATACACTGTGGAAATGTGCTTCTCCACAAAAAGTAATATTTTACTATCTTTGACAGTAATAAAAATGTTTCTTACATACTATAGAACATTTTGAGGCAGTCTGAGATATGCATGAAATGTCCGTCCAGGAAAGCGAGTTCTGTAAGGAGACTGGCACACATTTCCAGTCTGGTTTATATTGCAGAAGTTGCTGTAATCTCAGACTGACTACATATTTGAGAAATCCTGAAAGACAGATGAGGTTCCAGAAGACTAGTAAAGATAAAAGCCATCTTAAGAAAAAGGAATAGCCTTGGAACAGTCAACATTTTGGCATATTTAATTGTTTATTTCATTCTTTTTCTCTTGATTTAAATTAAGCAAGTATCCAGAAGAGAGCAACAAAAAAAAAATAGCAAGGACCAAAGATTAATCAAAGGAAAATTGTATGAAACTAAACTAAAATTCTTTCTATAACAAAGTAATAGGTTTTGGGAAGAAGAATGAGCAATTAAAGCCATATATGCTAGCTCTGCAATCTGTTTCACAGTGCTGTCTGATTGTTCCCACTCTTACTATTGTGTATTTAATTATTCCTACCTAAATGAAGTAGCTCTCATTTTAATTTGTTGAGTTGTGCATACTTTTGACACTGATTTCTTGAACTCTCATGATTCTCAATTTACATCCTACCCTTTCAAGGGCAGTTAAGGGATCCTCCGCAGCTGATGACTGGATGCTATTTAATAGTCCTCTCTACCTTGTTACCCAAAATATTAGTGGAAGTTTTGAATAGTTCTAGACCTGAGGTACGATCCTGCAAATCCCATGTGCAGAATCCTTTCATTTTGATGATAAATCATGGTTAGCAAAACCAGCTGCATTTTCCCCAGTACTCAGAAAAATAGATGCATGTTTTATCACAAATGGAACAAACTGAATTATATCCAGAATGAAAACAGAAAACATATTTGAGATAATTCAGGAGATGTTAGAGCTATTTGCCTTGGACATAAAGCAGAAAGAACAGCTCATTCCACGAAAAGAAAACTCTGCAGACACACATGAAAACATAAATGTAAAGTGGTAGTAAGTATGGAAATACAATTCTCTATCCACCACACACAAGGTAAAATATAATGGTCTGAAACTAGAAAAAGTGATTTAAATTAGGAGGTAGAAAAACTACAAAGAAATGACAGTGAGAATACATCACTAAAGTTGCATATTTCCAACATGACATTCATGGTAATGTAAAAATGCCAACCAAACCATGCTTCCATAGTCCACATTCAAAACTGTCATGCACACGGATCCAGGGATATCTTCTGCTTCATCAGGTTGTTCAAAGGCCCATCTAGCCTGACCTTGGACACTTCCAGGGATGCTCCAGCTGACAAGGTTTAAGAGCTATGGAAACAGAAAAAACACAGCAATCCTACTGGTGATTAAGGAACCATCCAAATCTATTATTATAGTCTTACACAGTTTTTGACAGGTGTAAAATATGGGTTTGAAATCATTATTTTTACCTGCTATTGTGAGAAGCCAAAAGTTCAGGGGTGTAAATTTTCTCTAAAGAAATCAATGCTAATGTAGAGTCTACCTACACAGGATATTTATGCAATCCCCATTATAGCAGTATTAGTACTCTTCCCAGTATTTAATGTACTTCTCTTCACAATAATGCTGTAAGGTCAGCAAATCTGTGAAACCACACAATCAAAAATACAATATTTGGGAACCCAAAGAGAAAATGCTCAGTAAAACAATCATGAAGAGTAATCCAGTAGTATCTCCTTAGAGGAAATCACACTTCTAGCTCCTGCTCTTAACATTTTTGATCTGCCCAAATCACTGAATTCCAACAAATTGGGCAGACTGTACATGCACAGATGAGTGCAGCGTGTGCCATCAGTTCAGCACAGAGCAGGACAGGGCTGTTAGACACTTACCAAGCTGTTAATATGCACATTATTTGCTCTTACCTGAGTCTTGGTCATATGATAAGGCGTTTTTTTCCTGCTGACTGAAACAATGGCAACTGCCTGTAAGAACATGCTGTTCTGGAAAGCTTAGCAGGTCTGTTGTTTGCCTGTTTTATCCAATGAGTGATTACATTTAAAGTAGATAAATAAGCCTGGAAATGCTACTTATTTAGGCATGCACCTACCCAGCTGAACTTATAATTCAAATAACCAAATTATTTTATGAATCTGACACTAAAATTACCAGAAGCTATAGGATGAGAAGTCATATCTCAGACCTAGGTTCTCTTCTTAGCTGCATGACTCGTTCTCTCTCTTTATGGTCTGATTTTTCAAAGAAGGATTTTAAATTTAGAAGAATAGAAATCCAAGACTGGGCATGCAGGGCAGAAAAACAAAAATCATGTGATGACCATCTCAGGAAGGGTTGAATGTGTTACAAGAGTACACTACTAGTAGCTCACAATTAATAGATTTCTCGAAGTGTCTGTCAAACTGCAATGCTATTTTTCTTTGTATGTTATCAAATGAGGATATAACCCTGAAGCACTTCCAAAATACCAATAATAGTTTATGTTATATACAAAAATAATAGGATTTACTTCTTTGAGTGTACCCACAGCTGTCTCATGAGTGTGAACCATTCAGTTTAGGAAGGCTTTTGAATCAGATTCATGCTCACAGATTATGTTTAAATCAATACTCAAAGAACCATTAGAGAATATATTTTGTGTTTCATTTTTATTTTGCAGAGGATTTTTTCTTAAAAACCTGGAAGATAGTTGAGTTCCAGCTTCTCCAAAAGTACAGAGGCAGCTACATTGCTTATTCTAGGCTCGAAAACATTTTGCATGGCCATTGAGAACTCCTTTAGATAGTCCAACACTGATTTCAGCACAAAGTCTTTCCACAATGCAAATATCAGGATACTTTGGAGCTTAAAAGCAAAACCCTCAGTTAATCCAATTCTGCAAATACAAACCGCTTCCTGAATTAAGTATTAGCAAATGTCTTCCTGGGCATGAACTCTGGAGCCTACAGCACTAAGTAGGGAAGGAAATGGGATGACAACTGGCAGGAGAAAATCTGCTACTGGCCCAAACGTATACTTTTGTGGAAATTCAACCCCGACTTCGAGCACTGAAACTCTTGAGAAGCAAGGAGATATCTTAGAAAATATCAGTGATAGAATGAACTTACAGATGTTAAACTGAAAGTATGCATAATAACTGTTAAACTGAAAGTATGCCGAATAACTTAAATTTTATGAGCATGGACCTAGATGTTGCAATTTTAACAGAATTCTGCAGATTTGGTGCCCCCTGCTGTCTTTTACTACCAGAGTGACCCATGAAAAATATGAGTAAGTGATTAAATACACTAAACTGTACAAAACACCCCCAAATGGCAAATTATGGATGCTGTTCAAAAAGGCATATTTAATCTAGAGTGTGAGTTCACAGACTGCTTTGGTGAAGCACTCAGGAGCTGAGAAGAGGAGACCTCTATGTTGGGAATGACCACAAAGAGGAAGAACATTGAGTGCACCATGGCCAATAGGAACCACACAGGGAGCTGAGCTTCAAGCATTGGCACACCTCCATTGCTTCAAACCAGGACCACAGAAAAGACTCAGTTTCTTGTGGGGATAAAACCACATGAAATCCCTGTGGTCTCTCTTTTCTTGCTCAACACTGGCTCTGCTATATTCCTGCCTCTCACCCCCAAAGAGGAGAGTTTAAACAGACTCTAAATACTTCCCCATGATGGGAGCATCTCAAAATCTCAAAAAAAATGAGTAGCAGTGGTGTATCCAGGTACACACTGGGTGCATCTACACAAGATCGTGTTATCAACTGAAGTAGAAGACATGCTCCAGGAGCACATCCATTACAGCAAGCTCCTACAGGGACAAGCCCAGAGCTAATCTGAAGTACAACCCCTCCAACACACTCAGCACAGCTGCTGCTGTGGCAGCACAACCTGCTTCTCCCTCCAGAGCAATCCTTCTTGGGCCACACTGCACGCTAAAGGGACTTCAAATGGGACTCATCTGCTGAATCCCACTGCCTCAGAGGTGGTGGTCTCACCTCTCCATCCCCCTAGATCCTTGTTGCCAGTCCACCCATTTCATAAGCCCTGGCAACCTTCTGGCTTCTTGCTTAACTTTCTGACTTAAAAAAGTAATCTCTCCCACTTTCCTACCCCCCCAGGGCTGGTTTTCAGATGGATCAGTTTATTGTATGGTCATGTGGGTGCTTGGTCTGATGTAAGAGGGGGAGGAATGTCCCTTTGGCAGCAGTACAGTCCCAGATTGGCTTAAGCTAATTGTGAAACTTCTGTCCTAAATCAAATAAGGCCATGAGATGCCAATGGGTGCAATTGCTTGTCCAAACGAACAGAGCACATTTCCAGCACAGCTGGGTTGAATCCTTCTATAATCAATGGCCAAGATATTATATCACTAACTTTTAAAAATTTCTATGTTGGTCTTTTGCCCATTCTTCGCACTCCTACACGAATACTACACAATGTAAGTGATGATGAAGCAAAGCACAGTGCTCCATCTGAACTTCTGGAAAGCAGCAGACAGGACTTTTCCTTTTAAAAGGGCCTTCATTCAGTAGTCACAAGTAATCAATCAGTCAGTTACTTCCTCCCTTGGCTATCCGTGCTTGAAGATGGAAAAAGAACCCAAAAAACAACAACAACAACAACAAAAACCAACCAACCAACCAAAACCACACCAAAACCTAAACAAAAAACTCCACAGAAAAGGGACAGTCCTGTCTTGCCACAACAGGAGTGTTCAGTGACTTGAGACTGGTGCCTGTGCTCCTGAAACCATGGGTGCTAAAACAGCATTATGCTGTACTTCAAGCAGATGTGCAGCAGAGGATGCTTCATCATTTCATATTCTCCTCAGGTTGGAAGGCTTTTAGGACTGACATTGTATCTGTGAGTCACTGACTGCTCTGGAAAGGCTTATTGGTGAATAAGATGAAATTTCTCTCATTTATAGTGTCTGAGAAGGTTTTTCAACTTCAAGAGAAAATTTATTCAGTTTCTCTGACACTTATTTATACACACAAGTTTTAAATGGCCTTTTTCAACTCTTGAACTCCTGTGACTGAGTGAGATGGTATGATCTGTATTGCATCTGCTGTAGCACTATTTAAACAAATATCCTTAATAAAATCTTGCTCACTCCCACCATCTAGAAATCCTGTTTTGTTCTTCACACATTTTATTTTCATACCTCAGAACTCAAAACACCAGAAGGCAGGAGTTTGGTTTGGTAACTATTAAATTAGTTGCACCCTGATACAAAAATCAACTTGCTTACTACATTCTTTATACTTGTCAATTTATTCAGTGAACTGCCTGCAGGGACTATCTAAAAATTCACTTCTATCTCCTCTAAATGTTGTTTAAGTCAGTGGTCTGCCCTCTGTTCACCTTTTTTCAGTGTGAAACACAGCCACACAGAGCCACATCAGGGGTTGTGCAAGAGGAAGATTATGAGGGTGGATCCACTTGTTTTGATCTCCCAACAGAGCACTGTGGCTCACCCTGCTACCACCAGGCTGTGGGGCTGCTTCTGCAGCTCTGGCTCTTTTTCCACTCCTAAGCTCTTTTCTTTGTCCCCTTTTCTTGTTTTTCTCCCTGAAATTAATAAATGAATGTGCATGTCTAGCAGCCACCACTCGCAAAGAGTCAGACCTCGATGTTCTTGAGAGCAAGGAGCCAAATTTTAACTGTTGAAATGAACTTGAGTGCTGGAAGAGCTGCGTTGACATAGAGAGGAGGTGTGCAGAGGGACGAGTGTGGAGGTTTAAGTCAGACCTTATTATCACAAGACCTCAGGGCACTGGCTAATCAGCAGGGGTGTAGCTTTATTGGCAAAAGTGTCTTCTATGATATTCATGTCTGTATCTGAAACATTCCATTTCAGTGAGACACCAGAGACACTTCATCAACCACTGGAGTGCTGCATCACAGCAATTAATAATAATTACTGGGAAACTCTCTTCCATGCCAAGCCTGGGAAGGGATAAAGCACATCACTACTCGTATCTTTCAAGTATGCTCTTCCCAACGCAGAAACTAAGGTAAATATCAACATACATGGCAGACTTCTTTCTTCTCTCAGCGTACTCTTTTTCTGTAATCCAAGTTTTGGGACACATTTCCTCCACCTCCTACATATCTTTTACCAAAAAATGCAGATTTGTGCACTGTGAGTTGTAGTTTTCTCCTCATAGGATAAGAAATCACTTTAGGGACAAAGAATCCAGAACAGGGAAGCAAAAAACTCCAAACTCAGTTCACAGTGTAAACAGAAGACTTTGCATTGACTCCACTTTTTGGACATCCTGTCTAGAATAGGATGGCAAATTGCCCTAGGCTTTGTTTATGCTGGCTAGCAAAATATGATATAAACAAAGCAGAAGACAAACTGGTTTCTAACATGATTTGCCCAGTCTTTGAGGAATAAAACCAAACTTTTTAACACTAAATCCAACACAATCAACCAGCCAAACTCGTGGAAGGATTGAAATGAGCTATGTATAATTCAACAAACCAAACCAAGAGTAGGCATCAATGACCCAGAGCTAGAATTCAAGAATTCAAGTAATTTGAGTATAAAATAAACAGCAGAGGGACACCAAGTAAAACCAAATTTCTGCATATCCATATTTCAGGGTTAGGTTAAAGAGCAAAGTATCTCTTCATCACCTCCTTCTGGAGACTAAACCAGGATTGAGCCAAGTGTATACATGTGTTAGTATATCAGTAAACACCAGCATATATTCTTCTGTTAGAACAGCATTTTATCACATTTGTTCTTATCAGAAGCTGGAAGACAAAAGCACTCTTCATCCTGCAGTTAACGACGGGTGACAGTCTGTTAGCAACAGAGTAAACACTGCACTTTATCAAGCATTACTTCATTTTCACTCTTATGTTTCCATCTTTTTGTGTCCTTGTAAAGACTGGGCAGCAGGTGTGAAACAAGGACTACTAAACCTTACAGAATTCCAAGTAATAACATCCAAACCCTGTTTTTTCATGATAAACAAGTTTAGCTCCAACATGTGTAGTTGTCTTAAGGTATTTTTATCCTGAATTCAGCATTTAAGATTCTTATGACAATTCGATATTTCATATGATCCTATTAAATATGAAACACTGATGATCATAAAAATAAAAAAATAGTGTGAAATAGATAATATCGATGTTCTTGCAAAGTGATGCTGTAGCACAGCCATTCAGCTTGTGTTTTTGTGTGTGTCTTGATTCTCTCCTCACCATGATATGGCTGGACTTGCCAGCATGTCTCATTTCTCCCCTCCTGGCTGCAGTTTCCCTGCATGAAAACTGGGTAGGGTAGAGATTAATAAAGGGTGGGAATACAGATGTCACCCCAGCTCTGGATGAAGACAAGGCACACACTCAGGGAGCTGAAGCACAGTGCTGAGGTATACAGTACAACCACAGCTAATGCAGCCAAGACAGGGCCTTAGGCAGCAACTGACTTTGCAGCTCTGTCTAATCTCCAGGCTTATAAGGGGATGCCTTCTGACATTGCCCTTTTTGTTGTGTAATTCTTCTTACCTGCAAGAAAAAGCTTCAGCAGTTCCCTGAGACATTCCCAAACAATAGATACAGTAATCTATTTATAATGGGCACCTGCTGCTTGGTCCACTGCACTGATGTTCTGAATTTTAACGGCATTCCTTTATTTTAAACATGCCACCCGGAGTAAATATTTAATGGTCAGTGATCCCTAAACAATAGGGTTTAATTTCTCATTTAGCAGGTATATGGAAGTAAATCTGTATTCAGTGCCCTGTAATAAAACACAGCTCATAAAGTAATATTATGCTCTGGAATACAAATAGGAGGCATTATACACAGCATGTAACTTAATCATTCTTGACTCTGGCATGAACGGTTGGAGGTGAATGCCACCTAGATTAATACTAATTACAACCTTGCACCTTTATGAGCAGACTGAAGCACTTATCAGCCATGCACACAAGCAATTTGTTCTATGCCACACAATGAGTCAGTGGCAAACAAAGGAGAGGAAACAAGGTTCCTTTATCTCCCACACTTCTTCTGAGCCAGCTTCTCGCCAACAAGAATTAAAAGCCATTTCATACTTCATAGCTACTTTTTGTCAGTGTTTCACCAGAGTTATAAACTCAGCCTCACCATGTATTAAAAAGCTTTGTACAAGTAAATACATAAATATATTTATGTGTGTGTGTGTGTGTATGTTTTAAATATGGCAAATCATAAACCTAATGGATAAAGCCTCACAACTCCTAAAGTAGCTTAAATTTAGTATCTGAACACCAAAGAAAAAAGTACTACTCTAAAAGCACACATTTACTGTATAAACCTCAGTATTTTGTGCAGCCTTTAGGTTCACTGCAATCCTACTGTACTACATTTTATACTTCTTTAAATAACCACTGGGTGTCACAGTTATCAACAGAAAATGCTTGGGGGACTTTTCCAGGTTCATTTCAATTGAGATTCATATCATCAGAGGTAATACCAATTCCTACACCTGTAATGTTAATACCCACTCTCATTCCAAGATGAGAAAATGCCTTCCTCAATTAAAAAAAAAAAAAAAAATTCACAGTTCACAATACGAACTGTGTTCTTTTAGAAAATGTAGCAAAATGGAGATTTCTCTTCCAAATTTAGCCTACAGGTAAGATTTTGTCATACTGACCATTTGTGAAGTCCACTACTGGAGTGGAATGAGGCAATTCTAGACTTCATGGACTTGAGGAAAAATTTCCATAGGCTTTCTCTTTCAATAATTAAGTGACATGAGAATAATTATTTCCTCTCCACTTCATAAGAATCTCATTTGATCTAAATATTTTGGCATTATAAATAGCATTATAGCCTTATGCTTCCGGTCCCACCTCTCAGAATCACACAACTAGCAAAAGAACGTGAATTTTCTTAATTTAAAAGTAAGTTTATAGTCTTCATCACAGAAAAGAAAATGTGACCCCAGTGACTATTCGGGTTTGCAAAAAAACAGCTTTAAATCATGCAAACTGCTCTGTGTCTTCATTCAGCTGTCAGCCCCAAAGGAACAAAGCACTGTTTACCCCACAAAATCCCCATGAGATGAGGATTTCACCCACCCACGTGTGTGCCTCACACCTGGAGAACTGGAGAGCTGCTCCCTAAACCCACAGCATAGGCAGCACCAAGTAAACCAAGCACCATGTGAACTTGCAATTTTAGAGACTGTATCACCATATAGGTGACCCAAATGATCCATGAGGAAAGGCTGGCATGGCTGGGACACTTGGGAGAAGACAGAGTGGACAGCCAAAGGATTGGTGCTCCTAAGTGTCTAGGAATGTCTGCCTAGGATATTTGGGAAGCCTCTGTCATACCCATGCTAAGGGATACTGGTCTGGAGCAGATGCTGAGAGCAGTCAGGGATTCATGTTTGGGATAATTCTGAACAACAGTTCTGGGGATCTTTGCCAGGACCTGCAAGATGTGAAGAAAGAAGGGGGAAGGTATTTCATGGATATCTCCTGTATCTTGGAGTATGTCTTTGATGGGCTGAATTAAGGAGTGTGGATCAGTTACCAGCCGACACATTTCTCATTCCCTACATTTTGTTACCCATCTCTGAGTTCAAAAATGGAGACAACTAAAAATGGAAGCAGAGAACTAACCTAATCCCTCAAAATCAGGCTCCACATTAGCACCTACAGTTCCTGGCCACAGTTCAGGTGACGGGTGAGAGATGCAGGCTGAGACATGGGCAGGTGAGACAGAAATGCCAAACAGGCACTGTCATGAGAGATGTGCAACACATGGCAGGCACCAGCCTCTCTCTCTTGTGCACATGTTTAGGGCCTCAGATCGCCTTAAGCAAATCACCCTGCCCTGCCCAGCATTTTCTAACTCCTCCATTTCAGCCACTTGCTGCCTGAGCAGCAAAAATGACTGTCTCAGCCAGAAATGTGATTTTTTTTCCCTCTTTTTTTCCCCTTCAATCTATATTCATCCCAGTCCAGCTGCACAGAAAAAGGCACATGCAGGAGAATGCAAGCATTATCTAATACATAAAAGATGGAAGCAGAGAGGAAGAGAATTAAGCTGTTCTTCATGCCCAGCATGGCACGATAAGAAGTAATGGGTGTGAACTGCAGGTGGGAGTTTTAGACTAGACATTAGAAATGGCTTCTCTTACCAGTAGGCATAATAAGGACTTGAATAGATTGCTTGAGGAGGCTGCAAAAGACTTCAAAAACAGGTTAGACAAACATTTATCAGGAATCATATTGGTACGATTCATGTTTGCAGACTGGAGCAGGAATGGATTGTTTAAAGTTCGGATTTCCTCTGATTTTTTGATCCAAAGATGCCAAATGACCTATTTATTTCTTTGCTAGGGATTGGTCTTAAACAAATCTCACAATCTTAAAAACCTGCCAGCAAAATAAAAAGAAGGACTTCTTTAAAAATAAACATTATTCCAATTCCTTCTCTTAGTCAAAAAGCCCTCCCACTCTGCAACACATTCAACTACAAAGCTGAATACAGTCAGTATAATACTGAAAGCATTAGCAGCACTGCTAACACTGTGGCAACAACACAGCAAGCGATCTGAAATCCCCATTTCTTTTGACCAACTTCTTGCCACTTGTATCTTTCTGTCCTTCTTGGCGCCCCAAAACAATACATAATTTTCTAAATTACTTGAGCTTTTCTGCACACTTTCATTAACGTAGCAGGTGCAGTTATTTAGACCATTAATGTCCTAGCAGTAGTGGAAGCTGGGAGTGACCCCACTGCAAATAAATAGTTCAGACGCAAGAGGTGAATGGTACTTTAAAATACAGCTGGAAATCTTCCACTGTACCCAAACAGGACTTGGTCCAAGGTCCTTGTCCAAAAGCTGCCCTCTTAACACAAGTCACTTGAGTTGGAGGAGAAAAGCATTACACATTAATTCTGGTTTGTGGAGAAAAGAGGCTCTTTTCTTCCAGCTGAAGTTAAAAGCTGCCAGCAAACATCAGCGACCTATTTGGAAATTTTGGACTGACTCCTCATGTGATTTGACCATGGACTTTTTCTCCACTTTCTATTGTATTATTTCTATGAAGCCAGTCACCAAAAGCTTCTCTGAGTCAAATTCACTCTTTCTGCTCTTTCTCTTCACACTACTGTGCTGCTATTTGTCTTTCCTTTCCCATTCTCATCACTTCTCAGCAATAAGTTCCCTTCAAATAGTTTGAAAGACTGATGCCAATGTTAAGAATAAACCTACAGGGGGAGGGAAATCCCCTCTACTCAACCTGTTCTGTCCATGTTACCTATCCATTTTGTCTCCTCTTTCAAAACTGTAAGCTTGCAGGGGCATGGACAGACTTAAATTCAAACTAAATAGCTACAAAAGTAGGACTCACTTTGCCTGAGCCTGCTGGGATCACTGGTACAGGGATGTTAAAGACATTGCATTTATGTGCTGTAAATAATGCAATGGAATGTAATGTCAGATTGTGGCTACTATGCATGCCTCAGGAAACAGAGGAAATAATCGAGGAATTCTTCTTGAAATATTACAAAAAATTACGAAAAAAAGGAGATGCAAGAAAAGGACAGTGTGATAAATCATATTGAGAATGTGCTGGTCACATGTCAAAACCCACTGACAATTACTGAATACAGAACTGGCCACAGAGAGGGGTCCCACAGCATGTATTGGGTAATTGCATCACCTGTGCTACATATTCTGAATAACTTTGGTTGAACTACCTGACCTATTACTCGTGTAACCCTATAGTTAAATGCAGGATATGGCTGCACAGCTCAGCACAGCACTCCTACCAAGTAACTCCAAAACAAGATGCTGCAGAGGTGTGTCACCGGGGCACTCCACCCCGGATAATGAGCACAGCAGCCAGCTGGGAAGGAGAGCTGAGGTGGGAGACCTGCATCTTCCAGAGCCCCAGCCCACAGCCCAGTGTCCCTCTGGGAATGGGAATGAGGAACAGGACAATTGTTAGCTCCATCTCACTTCAAAGACTCTAAGACACATCCTTCTGATGTCTATATAGCACATAAGGATGTAAAGATAAGATCTGCTTCTCTTTTAACTGAGAGATCTCTCTAAGACTCCAGTCCTTGTTCACAACCACCCAAACTGCTCCTCTTCTGCAGAGCTAAAATGATGGCAATGTGATCAGAAGTCACAGCAAATTGAGTGCTACATTGTTGTGGATTAACTACGTAATTAAACACGTTCTATTTTGTTTCAGTGGGCCTTATGTGGCCCCACACAGGTAAGAATCACAAAAAAAAAAAAAAAAAGTGCACTGAAGCCAATAGATCTTACACACAGGTGTAAGCCAGTCTTAAAACACTGTAAATCTCATTTAGGTAAACAAACAACAGACCCAATATGTTATCGACCTGAATTCATTAAAATACAATCTATACCACATATTGCTTGGGCTAATCACCATGAGTCATACGCAGTGAACCTCATTTTGATATTCCTTGTTCTTCCTCACGTAAAACTTTGGCAGTGTGAAGAGGGGGAGATTAGGCCAAACAATTCCATGAGCTCATCAGCTTCACACCACAAACACAAATCAGACACGCGTAAGAATAAAGAGCCAGTTTGGCAAGATACCATGATGCCAAGTCAGGTCAGTCAGGTTATAATAATTTTTAATTAACACTCTTCCAAGTTTCAGTGTTATTTATTTGCATGCCAGTGTCACTCAGAACAATCCTCTCTCCTCCCTATGAAAACCTTGGAGAAAACTGAAAGAAAAATGTTCAGCCTGATCTGGACAAAGAGAAATCCAATATAATGACAAATAAAAATGATAGGTGAACTTGAAAACCCTTAATGAAAACATCTTTAGAAATGAGAAGATTGATCTCAGTCTGATATCCACTGATAAAGAAACAAAGAGCATAAATCAGCACAGGTTGAACACCACAGAAGACATGATTTCTACCATTCTATTTTTGATTATGTTTATCCAAGCAGCAAAAATTCCCTATCTCAGAGGCTTTATATTGCCTTGCCCCTGAAAATGCTCCCTTTTGAAACATCACCAGTGTTATTCCCTAAGGAATACAAAGGTCCAATGTAAAATTCAGCAGGCTGAGCATTCTAGATGGTTTCATTAAAAAAAATTACTATTTTAATTATCTTTTGAAAATGCTTGATAGTGCAATAACTATGCAGTATTATTCATCAAGGCTTGTTTCAAAACCCAAGTCATGGATGCAATTGTTAACAATCCAAATCTGCCTCAATTTGCTGTCTTCTAGTCAAAAACATCCAGACTGAATATCCACAGGGTTTGTTCCATACATTAAATAATTTAAATTTTAAATTAATGTTTATAAGCATTTGTGTTATGAAGGTAAAATGATAAAAGCCATTAAAGGTACTGAAAGGCATAACTAAAATTGCTATTCCTATGACAAACTTTAGGGCATATGTGAAGTAGCATAGTCATTATTCACATAATATTTGCAATGTATTTCATCATCATTTTGTTGACAATATTGACAAAACACAAAGATTTAATACGCTACAAAAGTAAGATGTAGAGTAATATATTAGTTCTTTGCAGAAGACAGATTAAGGATGTTTTAGTATCAAATAACTCGTAAGATTTCAGGGAAGTCATAATATGTTTATACAAGATATTTTAGGATATCTGCATGGTAAAACTTTTTTAACAATGAAGTAGATGATCCTAAGTCTTTTCTCAGTGTTGAAATATTGCTATCAAAATATTGTTGAAGAAGGCATGCAAGTATGTGTTATGGGATAATCGACCTTATTTTTATAAAATAGAAAAATTAATATGAAAAATGAATGGGCTTAGTGAACAAAAGTGCCTATTTTATAGTTTTGTTGAAAAGGCTTTACTTTCAAGATGGATTACTTGTATTTCTTTATTTTTACAAAGGATGAGAGATGGTGGGAAGAGAAACTGCTGGCAGTTCTATATACACAGAATGCTTACTGCACTTAATCAGGAAAGATTTTTAAACTTTCACGTTGTTTTTTGTTCCTCTGATAATATTTCCATAATCATTTTAATAGTGTACATATTTTTAAAGCAACAAAACTAATTAAGCATCAGTGACTACCATTTACTACCTAATGAACTGTACATAGGCTCCAGTTAGGCCCAAGAGCCACAAGACACACAAGAATCAAGAGGATGGAGAGCTCTGGGAGCAGTTTCAAAATAAGATGTGGTAGGTCTAGACCCTCAGAGATCCCCAAAGGTCATCCTGGATCCTTCCTGCTAACGTCCTTGGAGACCTTCTGCTTCTCCAGGTGGCCTGTCAATACTGGCCTGAGCATCCCTGCCTGGCTGGTTTCCTCCCACAGCTGGGTCTTATTAGCCATTATGACCTTGAGGACAGATGATGAGAGATCACCAAGGGATGTGACGGCACAGTTTCACAATCCACGAGCCACAGGCTGGCCTCCCACTAACATGGGAGTAAGTGCTCCACTGCCACAGCTGTTAGTGGCACATTGGCATCTCTCAGACAATGTGACACTGATTGAATTTCCAAATTTACAATCACAATGGTAGAATATAGGCCAGAATTCACCTCTTTTAACTCTACTAACCTATGAGTCAGTGATATGCTCTAAGGTCTCTGGGCTAGGCTCCCGCAGTGTCACTGCGAGACACCAGAAAGCGACACATCCCATCCTATGATAAGGATCTGGGATGAATCACCTTTGTGGCTGCCTCCACCTCTCCAGAGAAAGCCTAGGAAAATAGCTATGCCAACTGCTTAACTTAGAGATGTGCAAAGTCAGGCTAGATTAATGCCATGAACTATGTTTTTCAGAAAAAAAAAGTTCTATCAAGGTTTTCCTGCTAACACTGTTGTTACAATAACAGCAAAGCAGATTTATCAAGCTACCTACTTTGCATTTGTGTCAATGCTCCTGGCAAAATGAAATTAGTTCTGTTCAGCTGTGTCTTTGGCACTGCACATCCTTGGCAGGGGACTCCTAACAACACATGGGTATTCTTTTAGCTTCAGGGAGAGGAGTCTTTGTCTTTTTGGACAGAAAGCTTGAGCTCATTTCAGGATGCATTTGTGAGGTTTTGAAAGGCCATGGTGTGCAATATAATTAGTTACTCCGAGGTGACACATTTGTTATAATCCATAAAACCAGATTCCAACTGTGAAAACGCAGTAAACAGTACTGCCCACAGAAGTATATCTATGCATGCACTGAAATATTTAAAAGACCCAGCCTTTGATGCTAATTTTACAAAACTCCCCTTTCCTCCTTCCAGCTGGAACTACTTCCCACCATGCCTCCCAGCACTGCCAGTATCCAGCAGGACACACTCCTCTCTCAGATGTGGTGCTGTGAAAAGCGCTATTAAATCTGAGTTACTGACAAAGAAGGTGTTGGTATTTATAGAAAATGAGGAACTACCTCAGAAATTCTACAGATGTAATTGTGTCTATTGTATCAACAAGTCCCGCTGGATAAAAATAGGAATGACAATATCTAGGGTGTCCTGCCCATTAGTCCAACTGGTGATGAGTAATGCAGCCAAATGCACGTCAGTAAATCCTACCCAGTAAATCCTACCTACCACACCATGCTTCAGAAACCCTCTTGGCACTCTTCTTTAAGAGAGAAGCCACAAAAGCATAAAGGTTTAATCTGCATGTATTCAAAATCATGATGAGGCAAAGATTCAAATAAAGTGTATTAGTTGCTCCAAATATGTCTCAGTAAAAAACTATCTCTGCTTACAATTCAAAGATTGTACCCTCTTCCAAAAAAAACACACAGAAAAAAAAAAAAACAAAAAAAACCCAAACAAAACAAAACCAAGTGTTATAGAATATTTGCTGAATGTTACACTTTCAATTGGAGAAATCAGACTGGCTTAGTACAAAAGACCCAACTACATTAGTCAGAGACAAAAAAAAATGAACTCTCTAGTACTAAGAGCCTTTGGAAAAGCATCTTAAGAAACTCTTCTGGAAATCAAAATGTAACATTTAAAAGATATTAGATCACATGGCTTTAGCATCTTACTGCCTGGTGTTAGCCTCAGATAGAACTTGTGTCTTGTATGAGGGTCCTCCCGAAAGCCTGAGGGATCAGTTTTCAGTACCATACAATGCTCTTGTCTACTCTTGCATCTCAGGCCAGTCTAGTTCTGGAACAACACCCTCTTTCAAGCATGCAGAAGAAGTATTTTTGTGCTGAACTAGTGCTGGTGCCTTGGGTTCTTTATCAGAATAGGTATTTGAAATTTCCTGAGGTCTTAAGTCTGAGATTAAGTGCCAGAGCTGATGCACCAAAAAACATTAGATGAAGTGGGGAAGACTTTTTACTACATAAATGTATGGAGCCACACAAAGGAATCTTTTCTCTAACTTTGTGGCTCTTTATTTCTGATGGAAGGAAGGAGAAGCTTGTACAGGAAGTTGCATTTTAAGTAAAGGTACAGTTACAAGAAAAATTAATGATTTCCCCTCAAATAAGAGGCATTTAAATAGTGCAATGACATTCTTGTGACACTAGCCTTTAATCTCTTGCCCAATGTAAGGAGGGTCTGGTTCATTTGCTTTTTTAAACACGGACTTGGAACACCATATATTTCTGATTAAGAAGGGGAAAAAATTAGCAAGTAATCCCAGAGCTCCAAGGAGCTATTCACAAGCCATGTTAAGATGTAATCTTCTAGTGATTACGTAATAGTTTCCCCTCTGCCGATTCCAGAGTGGATATGAGATACTAGAGTCTACATGCCTGGTCTTGAATGTTTAGTTCCAGGTGTGAGAACTCATTGCAGTTGCCCAGAGAAAGGCCAAGTGTACATGTCATTCTGGGAGAGACAGGTCCTAATTCCAAGGATAGGCAATAGAAGATGGTGAGCTACCCCACTCAGGGTTAGGTTCTTGGAGCTATGTGGGAGTTGGCAGACACAATTAACAAGCCTGAAATAACAATTGCCTTGAGAGCCAGCACAAAATAAAAGGCCGGGAGCAGACCTCCTGTAGGAAAAGTAAAATAACTGCAACAATAGCAGGACAAATCTAATCTCACATAAAAACACCAATAACCCATCTGAGACCTGGACATGAAATCGACACGCTGATATTAAGGAACACAGACCACAAGAAAAAACAAGCTTGGAATCCTCCATGGAATAAAATCAGTGATTCGCTTTTCTGTGGAGTATCTGCCAGCTCCTGCTGCACAGAGTGGTCAGAAGGAGATTTCGTAAGTGTTAGAGTGAACATTTACACCTATCAAGATGTAGAGAAAAAAAAGAGAAAAATCCAAGCATGCTGTTTTTCTGTCCAGTGCAATCCATTGCAGCACTGACATGGTGGCCTACTGTCTTTCCAAATCCTGGCCACATGTGACTTCTAAATATATCTGAAAATGCCTGATACATCACAGGATACATAGACAGATTTTGCAAGGTGACATCTAGGATAGTCCCAGACAGATAAATCCTGCATGCAAGGCAAGTCTGACATGTCAGATTCACAGCACGTGCAATATTGTCTTGCTCATAGAAGTTGCACAGCAAGTACCAATCTGGCAGCACACCCCTTGCACATGCACGTTTTATCTGTCCTTACAGGGAAGTCTGAGCTCTCCCAATACATCCTGCACATCCAGAAGGACACTTATGGCAATGGAAATGCAGAGGAAACCATGCCATGTATGCTCTTCCTATGAGAAATTGCACTGACCATGTAATGATATGACACACCCTGTATTAAACAGGGCATTCTGTACCATATGGGATCCCAGGCACTTTCTGACATTTATTTTTGTGACCACACCATGCTGTGCTTACCCAGGAGAGTGCAGAGGTCAACATCAGAGTATGCACATGAATTTGGTGGACAGAAGATATTGTGTGATTACCTAATATTTAATTAGGTTGCAACAATAACACTGCTGCCCTTATCCTCACTACGCAAGCTCAGCCACAAAGCAACATGGTGGCTGTACTGAAGCTTTGGGAGGTAATATCAGTAACCCCTGAGACATGACAATTATCCAGTCACCAATACTGTTCCCCCCCTAACACAAGGATAGCCTTGTAGAAAGTGTATTTATAATCACAGCAAAATTAAAGTTGGGCAAGATATTTTGAAGGTCACTGGTTCAACCTCCTGCTCCCTCCACAGCTGTCTTCAAAGATAAACTAGGTTGCTCAAAGTCTTTTCCTGTCTAGTTTTTTTTCCAAGGATGGAAAATCCACAGCCACTCAGGGAAAATGTTCTGCTACTTGACCACTCTCACTTTCAACTTTTGTTTTTTTACACACAACTGGAATATCTCTGGGTGCAGCTTCTCACTTTTGTCTCTCATCCTGTTGGTGACCATCTCAGAAAGAAGACTTGTGCTATCTTCCCTGTAATTCTCTCTGGGAAGGTGCACATTGTAATTAGATCCTGCTGTGGCTGAACCCACTTCCTCACACAGCATGAGCTTCAGCCCCTACCACCTCAGCAGGCTCTGCTGAAGTGGCTGCTCCCAAACTGGACAGTGTGTATCCAGTGTGGCCTCACCAGTGCAGCACGCAGAGCCAGTACCTGCTGGGTATATGGATAGTACAGCCCTGCAGCTGTTGAAATCCCATGAGGAACTTCTTTTGTCCACCAGTTTGGCCAGGCCCTTTTCTGCTGGGCTACTTCCAAGCCAGCTGGTTCTCAGCCTGTAGCATCCTATAGTCTGTCCCACATTCAGGACTTTGCCCTTGTCTCTGCTGACCAACACGAGTTCTCACTGGCCCATTTCTGCAGCTTGGCAAGCCTCCTCTGACTGGTGACCTCCTGTGTATCAGGTGATCTCTCCAGCTTGGCAAGGGGACCAGCTGAAAACTTGCTGAGGGGGCACTCTGTACCACCCCCTGCATGGTGACCTGGCCAAACAAGACTTGCTCCACTATTGATCCCTGACCCCTCCTAACGGGGCATCAGTCAAGACTTCAAACCAATGACACACAACCTTCAAGCCTGGGGGTACTGCCAGTTTTTCACACACAGGGTCTGTCCACCTCACCCACATCTCCCCAGTTACAAGGTTATTGAGGAAGTCTACCATAAATACAAGCTTAAATGACATCCTCTGCTTTCCCCATGCCCACTAAGCCTAAAGTCAGTGGCACTGGGTCAAACACAGCTGAACTTAAATGTGTAGCACTAGCCTTTCTTCAGTCACCTGCAGTCTTTAAATGCCATGGACTATCCAATGTTATAGGGTGTGAGAAGAAAATAAAACTGGCCAGCTCCCTCAACACTCAGATGAGTGTCATGTTGTCCAGTGGACTTGTGTGGATATTCTCAGTTCAGTCAGAGAGAAAAAGAAAGATTTTCTCCAGGTTTAGCCTGGCAGAAATTTGGCCCAGTTTGACAGTGGACTTCCTGTGGGGAGTTTCTCTCCTCTCCCAAACCCTGCTACCTGCCACAGAAGCTTGGGAGATGAGAAAGGGTTTTTTCCCAGCAAAGTCCAAGATGAAAATGATCTCTTCTTTTTCCTTGACCTTTATGGCTAGTTTAATCACCCAGATCTGCAGAGGCCCATATACACTCTTGTCTTCCTTTTGCTGCCAAATCACATGTAAAAGCTCTTTATGTCACCCTTCATGTCCTTCAGTTGCAACTCCAGTCAGATTTTGGCTTTCCATACTCCACTCCTCTAAAATACTAAAATACTGACTATCTTCCTCTGCATGAAGTGATGGAATCTCCCACCAGTGTAATTTCTTCACTATCTGCTGAATGATTTCTAAAAATGCTGTTTAAGGAAGGTGCTTATCTTTCATCCTCATCTCTTTTTTTGGAAGTGGCAAGCATTTCCACATACCTGTCCAAGCATTTATTTAGCTGGTACTGTGGAAAATGTGATTGTTCTAAATTATTCTTTCTTCCTTTGTTCTTTGTTGTTAGTTGGTTTGTTTCCAGTAACCTCAAATTTGATGCAGAAGAAAAGGGAAAGTATACACACCTGATAGGGAATCAAACAATTAATTACCTTTAGCATTCAGCTTTGACTGCTAATCCATCTCTCAAGGATTTTCTCTAATATTTTGTAGTATTACAGCTCTGCTGAAGCAGCCTCACATGGTTACTATCAAATAACCCAGGCCCTTAATGAGAGTTCCTTCCTATTATTCAGATCTGGACTATGTGCTCCATCCTCCTCTAAAACAAAACGGTGGGGGAAAAAAAATTTAAAAAAAAACACAACCAAAAAAAAAAAAAAAAACCAAACCACCAAGAAACCACCTAAATTAGCCGAAGTTTATTAGTTCTAGCCAGCTCATAAACAATAAATTCAAGGGCTGTTTTATTCCTTTTTTACTTTCCAGACCTAGAAAATGGAAGTGTTTCTTGCTTTTCAAGTATCTGTATTTAGTCTAGAATGTCCCAGGACAGGTTTCTTACACTTAGGAGTAACACAAGTTCAAAATATTCTACACTGGTAATTTCATTGGTTGTTTTTGATAGGGAGTGATTGGTCTCTTTGGTTTTCTAAGCTATCACAATAAATAAGAAGCATTTCTGCAACACTTTTTCTATTAAAGATGTGGATCTATACAACAGGAAGTTTTCTGAATTACAATATAGTCAGAATTGTACATATTGTGCACAGTTATATATTATAACTCTGCTTCAGTAACATGGCCAATACTACAATTGTATTTAAGGTTGCCAAAATTCCTCTTCAAAATTCCTCTTCTGGGTGTTTATAAGTTTGTCATTTTTTACAGCTGAATTGTTGCATCAATTATCTACT